GTGTGACACTTTGACGTCACGGGTTTTGTAGGTTGACAACCACTGCTATAGTCGTTTTACTGTTCATCATATCGTCTAGGATGATGCAGCTTTCCAGTTACACTAATCGCCAAGTATGAACAATCACAAGAAAACCCGTTTCAAATTTACGGTGCGACTGACATCAAGTACTTACATACATAAATCGTTGGGTGTTACATTCGTTCCTTTATATTCACAGCGTTGACCCGCTCTACATAGGGGTCATCAGAGTGTTCCCTATACACTGCCTGACAAACTTGGAGCAGTTCCATCATGCTTACATTTTAGCACTTAAAAGACTCATCCGATATGCCATCACGTAAAAGGAAAATCAATAGGGTTATCTGCAGCGACTTTGAACATTAGCTATATTTCCACGGTAACCTTACTTCAAGCTGTTATGTCATATATGGCCTCAAATATAGGTGTATGTTTCAAGGGAATCCAAAACGAGGCAGGATTTCCAACAGACTGCCACTGCTGATAAGCACATATGTCCAAGATTATCTCTACGTTCGTTTTTCAGCGTCGCCCAAATGTTCGGAACCGACGTAGGTAGGATTTTCACATTCTGAAAGATGAAATTTGGGGTATATCTCAAAGTCAGTAGTTTTTAGAAGTTAGTATGAATGGTTCTTCTGTAGATTGATTAGACAAGGTCTATAAGGAAAGAATCAGGTTAAGATATTACATGAAATATAGTCTTGCACATAGATCTGTTCTTTCACTGAGCTGGACGGTCTGTTTGCCAGCAAACTGAGTGAATGGACAAATTGTTAGATAACGCGCCCTAATTCAAACATTAGGTGTTGTGTAGGCACCGGTAAAGCGGTTGTTCGCGTATCATACATGTGCGGAACGTCTAGTGCAAAACCAGTGAACCATTTCTATGTGAATGGTTTTGAACTAAAAGCACTGAGTTGAAAAAAAAAACAAATTTCATTGAATTCCTCTGTGACTAATGGAGTAAAAAAAGGGGGAATTTAGAATTTAATGCAACCAAGTTTTACTTCGAAAGTTCAAACTTTACCAAAGGCGGCAAAAGCGCATTGATCATTCTAAAACTCATGAGGTAGGTGGATAGTAGTTTACCTCCGGACTTAACTTTACACGAAGAACCATAAACATGACGTCAGCACACATAATATGTCTCACAGCTCTCAGTATGTGTGAAATCCGACGCAGTGCGTTGGATTGTGTGGCTCCTAATTCAAGAGAGCTAAGCTTAAGAAGTGGGCCTTTAACCAAACCAGTACAGGGTTACTTCTGTACCGACTCTGTGTTGCATGAACCCCAAAAGATGAGCAACAATTTTCGACTTGCTCTGTGGACATAGTGATTGACTGTATCCACTGATTTGTGCCAGCTTTGATTGGGAAAACGTTACATTTCGGTATGCGAATGAGCTGACGAAATTAAGTGCTCCAAACGGTATTTTTGTAGAGCGAATCTCCAATACTTTGGAAACAAATGCCGTAAATTTCGTTTCAGTAGCTCGATGTTGCGCACTCCTGTTTATTTGCATGAATGTGCAGCAAAAAATATTTGGAGGATAATGACAGCCATCAGAACTCTGCAGCAGAATCTTCTGGTACGTCAAATGAATTTCATGACCTGAAATCGAAAATTATTCGCTTTTCAGCGTTTATTTACTATGTGCATAGGTGTTTTGCTTCATAGTTTGTGACCAAAGTATTTCGCATTGAGCTTGCCTATTGTATCTAGTCCACTCGGCAGGATATACACATAACTATCACTATGGTCATATTAACTCCATCAGCTCTTCGCTGATAGCGCATTGCTATAAACAAGTGTGGCAGAATATTCACCCTATCTCTTCACCGTTTACGTTTGTCCTGTAAATAGTATGGGTCAAACGGACGACAGGACAACAGCATACTACAGTGCGTGGAAAGCTCCCACAAAATATCGCAGACGAAAACAATGCAAGAAGTCACATTTGAGGAAGAGTGGTACTACACAATAAACGTTGTCGGCAAAAATAATAGAACAGATTAAGTTTGTTAAATGCTGAACAGAAGGAAGCTCCAGGTATACAAGGCGCAAAATGCGAAGAAGTCGGGAGCGAATCTTATGGAAATAGTACGGGAGCCCAAACTAAACAGCAAAGCTAATTTGAATGCAGCAGTCATCCAACCAAAGGATCATCAGGCTAGGCTGTAGGAAAAACCTACAATTAGCTGTTCAAACACAAGGGCGAAAATAAAAGAGAAAAGCCAAACCAATCAAGTACATACAAGCTACTCTCACCACAAATTCTTCCGGATTAAGAACAGGCACATCAGCATACGGGAAAAAACACTAAAATTCGAAGGCCTCGAGGAAACAATAAAACCGGAGTAAGATAAACTACAGTGCAGCATAATGTCAAAAAGACCCCAAGTCAGTCAACCAAGTCAAGCGTTATCAAGTACTACTTCGTACCTATGTACATATAGTCTGCTAAAGAAGAATCACCCAATTTCTTTTATTGATGGCAAAACATCTGAAAGTTAATTAACGGACTCGGCAGTCATATCAACAACCGCTTGCAAATTGAAAACGCATCCTATCCTTCGCACTGTTACAGCAAAATTCTGTTAGCGATCGGGGATCGATTGCATGTAGCAGAAGTGCAGCAAGAGGAAATGACATAAGTTCACCCCTTGTAATAGAATTTTGTCACCAATATTGTGCTTCTATTTGATGGGTCCTACACTTGAAAATTCTTTGTGCTCAAGGAGAATGAACCTACCGGAACTACGTAAGAGGAAGATAATACAGACATGACCATGTGAGGAATAGCTCACCAGTGGGCTGGTAAATGGCTACACGAGTGAACTTATTCTAAGTATCATTAGCGAACCAGCTATGTTCGTCTATCTCCCACAGTATGTAAATGACGCAACTCCTAGCAGTGAATGAAAGAATCCACATATGAGTGTGCATGCCCCATGGAGTCTCCAGAATTTGTTTTGAAGACCGTGTGTAGTGTGCGTGATCAGCTGGAGTGTCGAAGGTTTATGGTGGATGATTGGCGTGTCCATGTGGTTGGAATAAAACTTACAGCTAGATCAGACTCAATCGGAGTGAGTGGCTTTTTACAGACCAATCCTTTGCTGAAAGTAACGAGGAACGACATAATCTTATCTCTGATCTTGTGAATCGCTTTAATAAGAAAACAACGCAATGGGCGCCAGGGGAAATTCGGACATCATTGCGGTAAGTTTGATTTGCAAATAATTAGTCATATGTTCTCCATCAACTGTTAAATGTGAGTGACGTACCATCACTTGAACTTCTAAATGCTGTATACACCTTTATAGCCTTAGTAAGAATGTTATCGCCCTCCATTCTAGAGAACCGGTCCTATGGATTCACAACAGTTCATTTTGCACAAACTTCTTGGGATTTCTTGTCTGTCAGTTAAGAATGATCTACTGAAAACTGGCAAACAAACTCCCAGTATTTTCATGAGTTATCTTGAAATGATGGGTTTCATTAAGGGAACTTTTTTCTTAATTTATGTTTAGGTCTTTTAGATTTATTATCAACTTCCCGGCAACTAAACATGCAGCAAATTTTCTTGTTTTGCAAGATGGTTACTGCTATCCTTAATACTAGCAACTGAGCAAAAGGAATGAAGTCCAGTGGTATGGGCTGGCGGAATTTTTTGGAAATATTTTGCCATTCTGGCCGTTTGATCCGGAATATAAGCGAGGGAATCGCACATTTCTGGGAACAATACAGTGCTGTTCTCCAGCAGAATGACTCTAAATAGAGTACGACCCAAAGAAATTCGTTTCATTGCGAATAAAGCATGATACCAAAAAAAGTCACGAAAATGCACTCAAGATAGTGGGTTCCAGAAGTGAGTGCTAAACAGTTCCTTCTCGCATGTATTTTAGTCATAAGTTATCGGCTACCTCCGAAGACTGGTGTTCCTAAGACGAAAGAAGTTTCGTCGCTCCAGTCGAATAGCGTCTTCTCTGTATCTAATATTCCTCCTCAAAATGCAGTTTTCGTTGCGCAACTGGAATGCAAATGGCCGGTTTTCTTTTGGAAACAGTCGACCATTGTCCATACTGCTATCAGTTTCACTAAATTAAAAAGGAGGACATATTTGCGAGTAAGGCTTTCACAGTCCCACTATCGGTCATCAGATTTGTCCAGCTTACTCGAGCAACACTGTTCGAAATTCACGCTCACTCAAAAATGTATCACAGTGTGTCCACGGACAGCGCAATTTAAGTCCACAGTTCATGAATGAGGACCTGAAACGAACATTTTCAAAAGTATGGGTTTTTCTATAGTAAACTTGACACTCCTTTAATCAGGCTCAAATAAGTTTTCTTCGGAGAGTGCAACAGTCCACAAATTTTACAGTGCCCTGAAAGTACCATATTTCAGGAAAATTTAGCGAAATACGTCCAGTTCCAGTCTAAGGAAATGTGAACTCTGAAATTCGTACAGAGCTGAATATGTTTAAGAATCTAGTCTAATAAGCCTATGTGCATGGCGCCTGGCTGAGCTGCATAAAGTAAACGAGAAATTGTACCATTTCATGAATGCCTTCATACTCAATCGACAGATTATTGACGAGAAACTTTTATTTTCTTACTGGTTCTGAGCGGTGGGAAATCGAGTTTTGTTTATCGAGTATGACTGCTACGATCAAGTTTTTGTTACTTCATTTCACTTCTGGTTCACCTCATCTGGATGGCTTGAAAATATGTGCGTTCAAAGAGGGAGCGATTTCGGGTGAGCGAAATTTTGTCCCCACTCTTTCGGGCGCACTCTAGAGAAAACAAGATATAATAGTGAGTGACCAACTAAACAAGTTCCACAAAGACAGCGCGCATAAGCCTGTGTACTTGCTTTACTTGTGTTTGAAGCCGTTTATGGTGAGAGGTAAAAAAACTATAAAGTGATGAGGCCAGAAACTGCGGAATGTATTGGGTCGATTCTGTATTGTATACTCGGTTCATAGAAAAAAAGTCCAAAGAAGAAACTATGTTTTTATCGCTATCGTATGTTTCCTCGCTTGTTCAACGCTTGAGACAGCCCGATGGAATTCCTGGGATAGTATCTTGTTTCACGCAAGCCGGGGATGGTAAGGAAAGACAAAAATAGCGAAAACTTGAGGGAGGGAAAGCTAGTAAGTTAGAAAAACTGAATCGTGGAAGGCCGAAAAAGTCTATGGTTGTACATAAGAGACGCCGGTAGAAACAGAAGTTCATCCAACGCAGGTGTGCATAAGAAAGCTCTAAGAATTCTCTATAAAGTAATTTTAGGACCAGCCATGCCATGCATAGTCCATTTTTAGAGCGGATACAAAAAGCCGCACTGCTTCAGAGGTGCGGTGCCCCAAAATAAAGAAGCAAACGGGTTCTGATCGGTGGGTTTTAATTACTAATATAATCACCATCGATACACCATTCTAAATCGGGTTCTAACTTATGACGTTCATGTTCAGCTTGGTGTCTTCCACGCAAGGTAGGTGTATTTGCGCAGCTGGAAGAAAAATGAGGTCTTGGGTTCGTAAGAGAAACTGCACCAGCTGGATCCTTTTGTTATCACCACATGCCACATTCTTCCGTATTGACGGTCGAGGAATTGCTTCAGCTGTTTGCTTACCAGATTCTCATCAAACGGTTCATTGCGCGTCAGTCGCATCACTTCATTGACAATATCAACCTGTTGGTCGAAAGGCAGAGTTGCAGTAATAACGTCAACCTCGCGTGGCAGTGAAGGACCATGACTGGCTCGAACCATATTTGCGTTGTAAGCTCGGCTGAAAAGAAGAAATTCAGAGGAACAGGTGTATAAACTAGCATTGACATTATACTGGAATTTCTGTTCTCACAAAACTGCTATTTATGGTGAACCGTCGAAGAGAATATATTCACGCACGTTCCTAATAAATCCACTCATTAACTGCATCGTTCAGCGTATCGTTGCAAACAAAAAATCGCACCGCCACTCCCATATGAAATTGATATTTACGCAAAACTATCTCCTAAAACGTTGAATTCCAGTACAGTTCAACTGCATTAGATGCAATGTATTGCGCACTTTGACTTTGTTCTCTAAAAAATACGCTACTACGAACACTGCCATTTAACTTCACTCCTAAACACCTTAACTAAACGGTTCAACTCATAGCCGCAATACTACTTGAGCAACATTAGTTCTGACAGCCTAGTAAGACGGTAACAACTGGATCTCAATTCGCGCATCAAATCCTTGTTTTTTATGTGGTTAAACGCAAAGGCGGATCACACTTGATTGCAATACATATCAGTCTCAAGACGTTATCTGCTGTCATTTTTAGCATGTCATTCTGATTCTGATGGCTTTGCACTGCACTAAGCATTTCGTAAGTTAGAGCCATTCGTTTCTGACACCGATGGTTGGGAGCTTTCGGCAAGATTAGAAGCTAGATCCTTTGAACCTGTGCACAAGCAGCTTCCACCAAACTGATGAAAATAAACAGTTGATCGCGTGTAGATTGCCAGACCTAGGAGAAACTAAGCCGGAGTTTTGACATTGGTCCTCAAGAAGACACCCGTTTATATAAAGCACGGCTTTTTGTTTTCTTTTAGAGAAAAACACAAGCGTAATAAGACCCTTGTGTACATATCATGACTCACAAAAACTATTGTGGAGCACGATGCTCCCCCGAACTTTCCTGCGGTTGAATCTTGGATATCTTGTAGGGGTGCTTTGCAAAATAATGTTTTCAAGAGAAAACCCCATGGTAATAATTGTACTGTAGAATATATTTGCCACTATACGAGACCAGACTATCACCGCAGCTGTGAAAATTGCATACGATATTTCCATTCTGAAATAAACCAAGTGGTCTGTAAAAGTTACCATTATTGCCCGGACTATATAAAATTCCCTTTACTATGGTCTACTGGGAACAGAGCTGGCGTCCGTTAATATTCACTTAAGCCAAGCAGCCAAGCGTTCAGCCAAAATAAGTGATTTTTAGGGGTTTTTGCACATTCACAGATGCGTCTTAGTTACCAGTAAATATCATATTGCGTTGGTTCACCCTATGACGAAATGGTACGTAATACCTTTATTTGTCGCACACAAACCCCAGGTAATTTGAACAAGCAGCTTCCTATTTACGACTGATTAATTTTGCAGTAGCCGTCAAATGACCAATATTCTTTCAGTCAAAATTCCGTAGTTTATCGATTCAACCTGGGATTTTATGTGCTCACGTTGGTCAAAACCATCAGTCAGGTGAACCCATTGGGCCTAACCTACTAGTATGAGGGTAACAGCAGCCACCTAAAGCCCACTGTAACTGAACCCAGATGATCGCCAGCCTGGTTAACCTATGGCATGGCAAAGTGTAAACAACCGTTTGGTTAGAATCTACAGAGCGCAGAGTTTGCTCTGTCTTCTTTGTTCAGCTTCTCAACTATTCGGTGTGATCCCATGTTATCTGCACTGGCCTTGCTAACATCGTGCCGCGCTTTGTTTCGAGTTCAACTACGGTCATTTTAAAACGCCACTGTTTCGACGACATCAATGGTGATAAAAACTCCTATTACCGCACGTGCTTGCCACCGAGTACTCAGAACTCTATGTACCATCATCGGAGCACCAGACGTAAACACGGTATGGAACCATTTCTGTACTGCGTGCACACACAAATATTCAAAAGAATAATCATCCCCACCTTCTATACAGAATCTTCTCCTCCCCAAACCCTTCGATTTCGAACTGATTGGCGAAGCTAATCGTGTTTATAGTAACCGATGTGATAAACAAACCCTTCTATATCGCCCTCATGGTCAATATTAGCCACTCCATGAGGTGTAGCTTTTCTTCCGTTTTCTTTGCAATCCCATTCAATGTTACACTCCCCCAATTGGAGTTACCGAAAAACCACCATAAAAAGTGTGTCACTCTTGGGCTAATTTAACTAACACTCAACTCAACTAAATGTAAGAAACACAAAGTGGACACCACTTGAGTCGCTTGTACGGAAGAACTAGAGTTCAGTCAGCATGGGAGCAATGAGTTTAGACTCGCGTGGTTCAGTGTCCCACTTACCAATATCAATAATTGTATGAAGATTTCTTATTTGAAAAAGTGCGTAAAAAGTCCTTCGGGGCTTTCACATTTTCGCATAAATAGCGAGCGCATTTTGCGGAGCAATCTGCGAAATAACTGCGACATAACTGCAAATTTAGCTGAGTCTTTGTGATAAGCTATTCTGACAGCACGTCCAAAGTTCCATTATGAGTAAGCGTAGCTTGAGGATCGCCGTCTATTTTGATGCCCTTCCTCTTAGGAGATGCCAATACACACAATATCTAGCTCCGTTAATGAACAGTGGCATGCAAAAAATATATCGCGAATTATCTTTACACTTGTAGTTTGTTATTTGCCCAAAAAAGCCAGATAAACTTTATTTTGTTTGAATTGTGCGATGTTACGCCAATCTGTATAGGAAAGCTGCACCTTTGACAGACGTCTCGTTTATTTGGAAGTCATCCCGAATCTGAATTTGTTTAGTACGGATGACTAATTTCCAGAGGCACAATTTTCGTACTCTAGAGTTATTTTCATTGCTTTTGATGAACCACCATCTTGGAACTAGGAATCCTAGTATTCACCAATCGTACTTTTGAAGTTACACTTTCGTCTAAGCATTCGTAATCGATACTCGCCTTAGTCACTGTTGTTAAAACATTTTTCCCTACCTGGGTACCAAAAAGTTATGGTTATCAATAAGTTATTACGTTAGAACACAAACGTTCTCCAACCTGGGTGACGAGGTCATTTGCTCTCCTAAAGAACCTCAAGTGAATGGCATCCTTTCTCTTGCAAGATCAATCTACCTGTGATCTGTCTTTTTTTCCTAAAAAGATTTTCTTGAAAGTTTTCATGATTCATTCCGGGAGCGGTGCACTCTTTAGATAAACTGTCGTAAATCAAAGAACTTTTAGTTTGTCATGAAGATTGCAAAGCTTTTAGATCGGTTGACTTGAATACACCACATTGAACAGTTTACTGTGTATATATAGTGCTGAAACATTCGATAATCTGTTTGTTCCGCAATCCCTCCAACTTGGAATAGGGGAATAAAACCATGCAGGTGAAATCTGCCGACATTTAGGGGTCCAGAAATTATATAGACCTAGTCCTTCTAATTTGAGAGATACCAAGGAATCCAGGGTTAGGTGGCCACGATAATGGATGCGGACCAAAGATAACACAAAATCAAAAGTTTTGGAAAAGGCAGTTTTTGAGATAACACGCATTCACAAGAGAATAATACATATCAGCGGTGATGATGTAGACAGAGCACCGTCACATTGGTATCCATGTAACATTTGACCCCAGAAAAATATCGTTCAGATCCTTTGTTCGCACAACTTGGTCAAGTAATCTAACAGGATATTACGCCCAAAAGGTGTCTTGGATTAACCAGTGGATTCGGGTTACCTGGAAAGCTCAGTTGCTGCCATGAAAATACGTCTCACTACTTCTGAATTCAAGAAGCAGAATCCAGATCACTTGATTTGTGAAACTTCTTTGTAGAAATACTCACTGTGGGGATGCCAAAACATATGCGTGGCTCACTCAAGATCGTTTTGGATATACAAGTTTCCTATAGTACCTGAGTTTCATAAACAAACAAGTAAATTTCAGTCTGCATCACGCAATGGTAGGAACATGTCCACAGGTGGTCATTCAATAAATTTTACTAAATTCAGTAAATTTTACGATAACCTGAGTGTAACTTTGCCACTGACGGTTCTCATACTGTCTCTCCTATCTCTGTCAATCAGACCCATCAGAAAACGCACAGTTTCTAAAGTATCTCTTTGCACATTTGCTTTAATTTATACTTCAGATCATCGCTTTCTATTTACTCTTATGTTGTGATCTAATGTAAAACTACTTTCTCGAGTATTACCTCTCCACAAACATTTTGGCGTGTGTGCGGAATAACCCTATTGCTTTGTTGAACAAACTTTTCCTGAACTCAGAAGTGGACAACTTAATTTAATACGGACGAATTTAATAGCTCTCCTCTCAGTTCGATTCGAAAGCCTAGCTTTATGATCATCAGTGTTGTATCTCACTTTCTTCGCAAAAACAGTGACTTTAAGATTCGCGAATACAAACTTTACTCTGAATCGTTTGGACATCCTTCTATAAGTAATTTATGACATCTCCTTTTCTGAGTTTGGTCCAGAGTCAGTACTCTGCGTCTGTAGAGACTCAGGAGTTTCAGCTAACTGCCTGCCTGAAACAGGCCAATATGACTGCTCAATATGATATTATTTTTTCAAATCGTTGGTCTATCTAGTGACTCCTATGCTGCATAATTTTCAAGTCGTTCTTGTCTGGGCACAGTATATGACAGAGCTCAGTGCCGAGTCCTTGACCAGTGTACATTGAGTCAACAATGAATTTTTCTGTGGACTTTGTATCAAGAAAATATTTGGTGTCTAATGAGACCAGCTTTCGCATCCTCCTGTTGTAGGCTTCCAATTCGAAAGGAGGTCGAATAAGGCTGAATGAATAATGTCTTTAGTTGGTATTTTTCATATGAGAACACTTAGTGAGAATAACCGTGACAGGGTTCGATATATTCTGCGATGTATTATGGCGACTGTATCAAGGACATCTACCGAAAAGTGAAAACAAACTTCTAGTAATTCTCAAGCCTACGCGCGCAACCGTTGACTGGAGGATGTGATGTGATTTGGGAGCGAGACGAAGAAGAATCAGTGCTAACGGTATACAGTCATCGATCAGCCGAATGTTACAAGTGTTTTCAGTCGGACACAAGAAAAGAGTGAATTATATGAAGAATATTCTTAGAAATGAGTCTCTAAATCAAAACAACAACGAATCTAAAAGCAAGAATGTGCTGAATAGTAAATACCGCACGAATAACCTCTCTCAGTATTACAGTACCGTGCTTGATGGATATAGAATATACACGCACATAACAAATGTTAAGTACGACAAATAAAGTAGATTTTTTCCCACAGACGAGTGGCCCACACAGGCTATGCTTTAACTTTATAATCTGGCAGCTTTACAAAACTAGCCAAAAATCATCTTTCAGTGTTCTTGACAAAGTCGTTTAATTATCTAGGTAATGGGCAAAAAAGGGTTTCGATGAAAAGAATGTTAACTCACGCTTCAGAGGGACGAATTCCAAGCGTCTTGCAAAATTCGTCCAGTGTAATCACTCCGGAGTCGTTGGCGTCGAATAAAACTTGCCAACGCTAACAGAATAAAAGAGAAAGTACAGCTCACCGAATTGTGACCACTGGGTAGAAAAAGAGATCCCTATTTTCATCATCTAACCAACCGCTCGGGCAGTGAAAATGTCAGGGGTAATACAGTTTGGCACGTTTGCACACATTTTCATTTGAGGTACTCAGTTGTATGCTATTGCACTAAGTGTCCATACACAGTAAAATTGCCACCGTTTTCTTTACTACTATGTCTACGCTTGTTAGAAATACATTTAACATCGTAACTGATACAATCTAGCTGGATTCGTCTGGTATTCTCAAACTTAGCTGCATCGTACCAGATAAGACGTAAGCTGGAGTAAGCTAAACGAAGGTTGGTGTGAGGAATTTACACACACGGATATTATGAATCCATCCACTTACCTTAACCATTGACTGATCAATATTGTTTCGTTTCACATAGTCTTGCAGCTCCCGTATGGTTATTCTTTCTGAGTGGTCTGTGTCAATGCTAAAAAAGGCTTCTAAAAAGGGCTCCATTGTTCGGCAAGTCGTGAATTCAACAGAACTGTGAAGCTCCAACCAAGCTACACGTATAAGTAACCTTTAGTTTTATCGATTTAGCTAACATTCCCCGAACCAGATGTTAAAAAAACGAGTAGAGCATAAGTGTGTGTGATGTACCGTTTCGTTTCACGACTAGGTGTTATCCTGTTAATCACCTAAACGCATCATACACTTTCATTGCGCGTCTCATCACCAGATGGAATTCCTGTTCAGATCGATTCGTCGGTGCTTAGGGCCTGGTAAAAACAGGCAGGGGTGATTAAGCATGTTTTTATTGCGCTAATTGTAGCTGACGGGCCCCATAACTCTCATTATGCGCCATTGGTGACGCCATTGGACACCACTGCCAAACGAGTTATCTGCCTGCGTTTCACTGAGAAGTAATGTAAACCAAGTCCACTTGCTTGTTTCAGCATGAAATGTGAACTGTTTACGCCACATTAGTCACGTTAAAGAGTAAAAAATATTACGCAATCTACGATTTATCTTGACAATCCCAAATGATAAATCACACCTGACAAATATGTGATAGTTCATTCGATCACCTTATATAAAAATTGCCTCTTATCCAACTGTTGATATTGGACCGTTCCTTTAAATACAATGGTGTTGTTTCGTTCAAGATGTGGTATATCACTAGTGTAGTCTGTAAACTTCAGTTCTTGACATTTTATTCGTTTTTGGGATAAGTTGATACTCCGTACACAGTCATCTCGAGATGTGTGTTCATCCTCCCTCTGTTTTGAACCGTTCAGTTGCGTAAAACTAAGGATAATTCAGCTAGGGTTAGGTGTTTGGTACACTTTACTGTTTCTTATCGTCAGCAGCCTGTCTACAAAAAGGTACTGAGGCTTAGTGAGATATAAAGGGAATGTGAGCTACAATGTCGTAAACATTTACTTGCAACCTCAGGGCAACTCTAGAAAAATGGCACCTACCAATGAATTTTCCAGTCCGTATCTTTCAAGTCCTATTATAGAAGTTATTTCTCATTGCTGCTTTGACGTGCGTACACCACGTCCCATCAGGGTTGGTCACTGTGGATGGCCAACAAAGCAATGCCGTCTGCTTAACACACCGCACTTCGAATATGCTAGCAGTAACCAGCCTGCTGAGCCTGATGTTACACTATATGGGGCGATGGACCTCATTACATACACGTCCGTTCTGGTGGTACTGTTCAAACTGTATTTACCATGATCACAACATATTATCTTGGCATAAGTTATTACAGTAAACAGTCTTCTCGAGGTGAGGTTTATTCAGGTAAATGATCAGTTTATTAAGGTAACCGACGGTGCCCTGTCAACACTCCTGTTTATCACTCACAAAAATGAAATTACTCAGTTTAAGCACATCTATATCTGCGACCTCCCTGTGTGATTCGAATGATTGCAGAGTACAACTGGTCCTTCAGCTGCGCTGATGTCCTTTCAGTTGAATGTTGATTACTCACCCATCTACTTCTCCTAAAGTGATTAACTGACTGCATGGCATTATTGTGGAAACCTCGAAGTGGCCCACTGAAACGGTAGAGGATTGGGACTATCCACAAATATTCGGTCAAACTTTCCCCGGCACAGCATTATTTGCAATGAGGATTTTCACAACTGACTGTCGAAAATCCGTACTTTAGATATTAAATTTATTTCACAAATTGAATTAGTTGAGTTTGAAACATTCATCACAAAGTCCAAACGCAGTGGAATAGCACTGTTTAGTGCTGCAATTCAAGATCCCCACAGTTTGAGGTCGGTAGTGCAACCCGCCAAAAAGGTAACACAATCTTCCTTAAGGACACCATGCACTTACATTCACAAATTTTGCTGGTGCATGGTTGAACTGGAGTATCATATGCAAAATACGGTATGATAAGTAGTCACTATTATGACTGTTTTGGCATTTGTAACAACCCTAGCCGAACTACGGAGCCGTCGTGGAAAAACACATGTAATATAAGATGAATGAACTCTGGTGAACAATGGTATTTTGTACCTGAGTAATTCATTAAAGTTATCATTAACTTCAACATGTGGGGAAAATAAAGTTAATATGCAATGACAATTAACCATGGTGAGGATAATTCTGCTATTTATTTTCTGATGGTATGGTATTACGTCGTCGAATAAGACCTAAAGCACAAGCAAAAACACCCCGTGAGTGACCAACGGATCACTCTCCAACGCTGACTTCGTTTGACGTGCTGAATATCTCGGTCTCTTCATCGGGAACTAGTCACGGCACGAAATGCCCAGTATGATAACTTTCTAAAAAAATGTCCCCACCCCCTCAATGTATAACCACTCTGTGGGGTAACTCAATCGTTTGCATTAGTGGATCTCCAAAGGAACTGTTCGTCAATCGTTAAAGGGATTACGGTTGTGCGTCTCGGTAAAGTAAGGAAGAATAAGCAAAAACTGCAAGTGCGCACATTTTCGACAACTGTACGGAGCAGTACTATGATTCAAAACAACTAATACACCAACGAATCAGTGAATAGAAACTCAGTTGTCCGAGAAAACACGCTCCGCGGGAGAAAATGACTGCTCCATGAACTACAACAGAAGGCTGTCGATGAAACCATTGAAGAGCTACGAGAGCTTCGCATGAGTTCACTAGTCTCGTCTAACAACAGAATATAAGTGCAAATTGACGCTATCGGTGATGAGAGTTTTTATCTGTCTTGGGTTTAAATTCCAATTCAAAAACTTTTTCGACACACCAGAGTAATGTTTTTCTTTGAAGAATAGTACCGTGACCCGACAAAGCGGAAGGAAAGTCTACCAGCTTGGGATATATATTACAAATGACGATGATGTTAGAGGGGCTTGTAGGTAGGGATATTGAAAGAAATATATACGGAGTATAATAAAGAAATAATGAAACATTATTCGTAAAAATAGTTGCTGTGCGTCCCAAGTGGCTTTAAAAATTCATCTAGGTAGACTAAACTTGTATTTGGAAAAAGTTTGGTGACAATCGGTAGATTTATTGCTGGGCGACTTTAGGCTTTGACACAAAAGCCTCGTCAGGCCAAGTGACTAGGTTCCGAGGTTGACGGAGATTTAAGGCGGAAAGAGAACCAAGCAGCTAAGTCAAGCTAAATCTTTGTTGGGTGTCGGTCGAGAGATTTTAGTGCATTAGAATGGTTGAACAAGTGTTCGGTCGGTAATGATTAAGCTTGTATCTCTTTAGAGGTGAACAACAAAAAAAGTAGTACACATTTCCAACGAATTCCTAGTTCAATGTTTCCAGATATGGTGCAATGGTTCCAAAATCTTCATTCTAGTTGAGTGGTTGAACTTCATTCATCCCCAACTAAGTGGTGAGTATACTTAATCACATAGTTCATTTCTGTGGAATAAGGGACTCATCTGAGGAAAACAAATAGAGAAGCCTCAAATCGGGTCATCAGGGTCAGACTCGAAAGTACAGTTTCTGCAGATCATTGTACAATGTCTGCAGAAGAATCGTACTGGACGGTCGATCACGGACGCCTTCGTATTGGTGTTAACTTCGCATCACAAAACGTAGTGCATATGCTCTGAGTGATTGTATTGGCAGTAACACTACTCTCTTTATCCCGTTTAGCTAACTTCGACTTGCTGAAATAATAGGCTTGGCGTTTCGAGGTAACAATATTCATTGGGTTCCAAAACCAGAGTGATTGTATTGGCAGTAACACTACTCTCTCTATCCCGTTTAGCTAACTTCAGACTTGCTGAAAGAATAGGCTTGGCGTTTCCAATTAAAAATATTCATTGGGTTCCAAAACCAGGGTAAAGTCCAGCGTTTGACGAACCACAACTCTGAGAAATGATTGAATTGTGCTTCCTAACCACCCAACTTACTATAATCCTTCTCCAGATCAGATACCAAAAGCCATATATTTGTTTTAATGTCCTATTGATTGTAGAAAAATTGCAGTATAAAACTGATGATCTTACAAAAACAAGATTCTCCGAATTTTGATGCAATCAACACATTCCTAATACCGTGAGAAATTATGTAGTATAAACACTGTATAACATACAGTAAATGAATTCATTTTGCGCATACAAGTCGATTCCTACTAGCAAAATTCCTGGCAAATATTTCATTCGTCAAATAGGAATATGGCTCAAATTTATTTTAGGAGAAATATTGCAGCCTCAAAATGCCCGTCATGGTTTGATGACCCAACATACTTACATTAATTCAAGTTATTCCCCCATTTTTAAAGTATACTTCAGCCAGGTGTGCTGAATTTGGCCACCCCATACTTGGAGAGTTGCAATGGATAGCTTTGGCGTAGCGAGCTACTTATAAGACGCTGAAAATAATCCAACGTCCCACGACCAGGTCATCAAAAACGGAAGATTCAGTTGGATCGAATTAAGTCTCCTGTCACAACCACATTTGACTGCGAATTAATGTACCTTTGTATTCTATCTAATTTTGTTTTGAGCAGAACATAAGGGTGAGTCCCAATGAGGATAAATCGGTCGTGGGTTATCAGTCTTCAGCAACCCTATGAGTAGTGCGTTGTAATATTACCACGGGGTAACTCCAGGAAATAGATCACTATAGAAAAATATCCTGCGTAAGCAGACGAATCAATGTCCTAGTGTATCCCACAGATCTAAAGATGAACACCTCAGCGCTCAATCAAATGAAAAAAAGTTTGGAACCGATTGAGAATTCATCGCTTCAGAAGTGATTGGATAAGGTTAAGTGGAGTCCAGATGATGAATACTTCTCCGAGGTTAAATCTTTTGAATCAAGTGGTTATCAATCTTTTGTTTCAGAAATGCTTGGAAAACCATTGGTGATTTCATTGTTGGGTAGATTTTTGCGTTTGGACTAAAAAGTTTGTCAGATTAATTGACTAGCTTATGGGACAGGCTTAAAAACCAGTAGTATCTCCTTCTGTTAACAGGCTTAGAATTACCGTTTCAGAAGGGCTTGGCAGAAAGTCGGTAGTTTGTAATTGGGCAACATTTCGCCTTTGACACAAAAGTTTCATCAGGTCAAGTGAGCAGGTCACCCAACTGACCAGGTTATAAGGCAGACGGGGAACCGATTAGTGAGTCCTCGTCCGATCGGCCTTTGTTTCTTAATCTTCCACTTCAGGGTGCTTCAGTGGATGATTCACCGAGGGTCCCACTGGTAGATTTTCCTTGGTCTTCGTGGGCTTGTGAATATTGCGACAATTTAGTTGAGGAGATGGGAGGTGGGTAAGGTT